GTGGTTATCCAGCCAAACCCACCTTTTGCTTGTTATTCTGTTTACCTTGTTTGTGGTCAAAACCCAGGGCTTTTTTGTAGCAGGAACTCCTTTGCATGTTAGGCCACACACCCCTAATGTAGCCAATCCTAATGAGTTCCTGTTGTTGGGTGTGGCCTATTATGCTAATGAGTTCCTGCTGGGCGTGGCCAACCTGGGAGCCAGCCGGAACTCCGTTCCTGTGCGTTCCTGCCCAAAAATAGCCCTGCTGCAAATTATGTAAAACAGACTTGTTCAGGATGGCATTTGTACAAAGCTCTGCTGTATAACAGAATGATTCAGGAAGTAACTTTTATAAAGAGAAAAGTACTGTAGTCTGTGCTACTGTGTACGCTATATATTATGCACTTGTTGTATATATTATCTACCTTTGTAATTCCATTTTCTGCATCACATGACATCTCTTGATACTTTATCACACTGTTCTTAATTTTTGTAACCCTAGTCCTACTGCATTGTTTATTAAATCTCTCACGCTGCTGGGTTACATTGCTTTACATCACGTAATCTGCCTCATGCCTCAGCATGAAAGATGGACTGTAAATAAATAAAAATAAATGAAATATTGAAACAAATCAATTAAAATAAATAGGCAAGGGTGTCTTGTGTTCACTTGGCGAGGAGCAGGTACTCTGTAAGGGTTAAGTTCCCATTACATTATTACACACAAAAGAATGTTCTTCACGCAGTACTTCACTTACTCAGTTTGCTTCATGAAGATGTGTTTATGGCCCCTGGCTTTGCACCAAACCTACACATTATTTTTTTTGAACAAGTAAAGTCCAGACTCACTTTCCCCATAGCAATGACCAGGCCCGTTGTGCTGATCTTTTGAACTACACAGAGGCTGGCCCTTGATGATTAGCTATGGAGAAATCTGCAACAGTTTTTTTGGGAACTTCACTGTTTTACCTGGTTTAATATCCACTGTTACCTTGTAGACAGGAAAAGGCATCTTAACACCTGGCAATCAATACAAGCCAGTTACGACCACAGGGACATGATGCTTGAGTGCAGAACCCCGAAATTAAGTATACATCAACCCCCCCAAAAAAAACTGCAGAGGGACCAGCACCAACACATACCTCAGATGTGGAGGGAGTTGAAACTTGTTGCGTACGTCATCTAACCGTTTGCCAAGGAATGGTGTGTCCACAGTCACAAAAATGCCTTTGTACCCAGCTCTTTCTGCACGCTGCACCAGGGATCTGGTGACCTCCCGATCTTTATAGATGTAAAGTTGCATCCAACGAATTGCTTCCGGAGCGGCCTGAGCAACTTCTTCAATGGAGGACGTGGCCCACGAGCTGAACATCATCCCCGTCCCCATTGATCTGCAAGCTGAAGAGCAGAGAGGAAATCAGTGCTCATCCACATGACACACGGGAGTCCCATCAATTAGGCTCAACAATCTTTTCCCAGCCGGCAGGCCCCTTTGGAATCCTGACACAGGGTGGTGACCTCAACCACGAAACGGCTGCCACGGAAGGCAGGGCCCACCATGAAATATCAGGGAGTGAGATTATGCGTAACTCTGATTGTAACTCTTTGTTGCAGGCCGAAGCTCTGTTTAACAGGATGCATTTTTAAATGAGCCTATTTATTTATTTATTGCTTCGACTTTTACCCCGCCTTCCCCGCCAAGGGCGGCTCCCATAAAACTAATAAAACAATAGACATCTTATAAAATTACAAATACATCTTTTAAAAGCATTAATATCGATGGTGATACAAAACAGTAAAGTGCAATTAGAGACATGTTCAGCGGTGCTACCACCAATGCTCCCTCTAAGCTGTGGAGTCTTGTGAGCAAAAATTCTACTTTGCGAGCTACTGGCATTAAAGTTGTGAGCGAGCCATTTGGCTACTGCATAAATTAGTTTGCTGTGGAGCCATCCTTCCCGAGCGAAGGCAGAAACGTGTCAGCCGGAGTCTAAAAAACTGTGAGCTAGCTCACACTAACTTGGCTTAGAGGGAACACTGGCTACCACGCTAGGTCACTTCTGGGTCTGAGTCAACACAGGGCGCAGCCAGTGAGGCGCCGCTCCTATCAGAATGCCTGCCTAAAAAACCTCCGTTTTCACCGCCCTGCAGAACTGTGGGAGGTCCCGCAGGGCCCTGATCTCGCCAGGGAGCTCATTTCAATCAACATAGCTGGGTATTTTTTGTTTATAAGTGTTTCCTTGCACACACAGACAGACAGCAATGTGGTGAAGATCCCTGTGCTTGTGGTGGCAGCTATTACAGAAACAACTCTTTACAATTCTGCGCAGCCAAGCCGATCTCCAATGGCTCATCAGAAGCTGTGCTGGGCAAAGAGCACCCCCTGTCCCCAACAACTTGCTAAAAACTCTTGGTAAGCACCGGAAATGGTGTCGGTGGGTGCCATCATGCTCATGGACGCCATATTGGGGACCCTGATCTATTTCCATTTCCGTCCGGAATCAGGTCTGGGTTTTGTACACTGAGACTGTGGGACTGGACAAAGGTCACCCAGCAACCTGATGGCACCTGGTATTTCTGGCCACTGTGTGACACAGAGTGTTGGACTGGATGGGCCTTTGGCCCGATCCAACATTGGCATCTCTTATGTTCTTATGTTCTTAACTCGTGGGCACTCCAT